AAACACGTCTAGCCTGTTCAGTCAGATTTTTCATTTTTTTTTCTCATTTATTTATCTTGAGGACCCGTGTCTGGTATTACGCAAGTGTGGGTAAGTTAAAAGGCACTTGTTTGAACACAAAATTAAAAATCACAAAAAGAAAAAAAAAAACATCATGCAAATGTTAAATGGTAATAACAAGTGAACAAATCACTATACAAATTTATAACTCGTTCATTTCATTAGAAAAAAAACACTGATAAGTTCACAAAACGTAGATGTGTTAATTTCTTGTACAACGCCGTTGGGTAATGAATTCCAATCTTCAATAGCAATAGGTAGCATGGAATTTATGAAAAACTAGGATGAAGAGCGGATGTATTTGATTTCACACATTGTCAACCCAAGCGGAAATTTGATCTGGGGCGCTGAGCAGGGCCATTTTTATCTGCGGATTGTGATAATATATTTTATGCAGAAGGGCAAGTCGGGAGAGCCTTCGACGAAGAGAAAGTGTTTAGATCAGATCGGTTACGAAATTAAGTAATACTAGTGCAGGAGGGGGAGTCGGAGTGAATGTACCTACCTTAGTGCTCTGTTTTGAATTTTTTCTAGTTCGTTAGAGAGATGATTTTGAAATGGTGAGCATATTGATCATGCGTATTCCATTTGGGAACAAACCAGAGTTGTGTAGGCTAGCCTTTTAATTTCGGGTGAACAGAGTTTGATGTTACGTTTTAAGTATCCGAGTGTGCGGTTAGCTTTTGGGACAACTTCGTTAACGTGGTTGTTCTATGCGAGATCGCTGGTGAGGTGAAGTCCTATGTACTTATATCATGTGCAGTGGCCAATGTTATTGATACCTAGTTGGTAAGAAAAATTAGACGAGGTGGTTCGACGAGTGAATGTTAGTAACTTGCACTTTTTCATGTTTAGGCTCATCTGGCAATCGTTACACCACTGTTCAATTATATTGAGGTCATGTTGAAGTATTCTATGGTCATCTGGTGTTTTGATCGCTCTGTAAATGACGCAGTCGTCTGCGAAGAGACGCACGGGGGATGATAGGAGCTTTGTTAAGTCATTGATGTATGCTAAGAATAATAATGGGTCTAGTACGGTTTCCTGTAGGACGCCTGAGGTGATAGAGGACCTGCATGACATTTTGTTATCGATGACTGTATAATGCGTACGATTTGTGATGAACTCTCTGATCTGGTCTATTAAGTTTAAAGAAACTTTAAGTTAAGATAGCTTTTTAATGAGGCGTTGATGAGGTACCCTATCAAATGCTTTTGAGAAACCGATAAATATGGCGTCAGTTTGGAGTTTGTTATCTAGGTTAGAAAAGAGGTCATCTGTGAAGTGTAACACCTCGGTTTCACAGGAAAACGTTTTCCGGAACCCATGCTGGTTTAAACATAGCAAGTTATTAGATTCCATGTAGTTAATTCCATCTGAATATATAATGTGCTCGAGAAGCTTGCAGAGAACACTGGCGATTGATATGGGGCGATTATTGGCTATTTGGTTCCTGTCACCCGTTTTGTGCATCGGCAGTATTTCTCCTACTTTTAAGTCATCCGGTAGCCTCCCAGAACTTAATGATTGGCTAAATATTTTGCACAAGTAATGAGCCACTGTTTGCTTTGTATTTTTCAAAATCTTTGAGTTTGTCAAATCATCGCCAGCGCTAGAAGAAATTTTTAGATTTTCAATTGATTTCACGATGCCGGGATATGAAATATCGATTGGGTTCATCGGCGCATGGTCTAACGTGTTCAGGTTAGGTATGGTGTCAAAATCCTCTTGTGTGAATACTGAATTAAAAAATGTGTTAAGCCTTTGTGCGCTATCTTCATCCTCGAATTTCACACCGTCGCCATCAACGAACGCCAATGCGTTCGCACGTGTCGGGTTTATAATTTTCCAAAAAAAAAATTTGGGTTGTTTGTAAGAATGTTTTTTGAGTCATGTTTGAAAAACTTTAATTTTGCTTGCGCGACGGCATTTTTATATACCTTTGCATGACTAGCATATTTATCCCAAAGGCTGTTATTCGAAGGCGATGATTTTGCTTTCTTAAATAGTCGTTTTTTTGTTGTTGTTCATACGACTAATTGCTTTCGTGAACGATAGATTGACGTTATCTGATCGTATTCTTACTCGTGGTACGTAGGAATTGAAAAGTGAAGACATTATATTTTTAAAGCGGCCCCAGTTCTCTTTAATTGAATTCTGGTCAAAGGTGGACATAAACGAACAGTAAAACGCTTCTAAGCCCTCGTTTATTGCCTGATAGTTTGCTTTGTTATAATCCATGATGTATGTATGGTATGCAGATTTCGGGATGCAGGAACTTCCAGCGAAAAATGTATTACTAAGTGATCACTCAGCCCGGAAGGTGGGAGATGTTGCTGATGTTTCTGGGATGAGACGATAAGCATAGATCAAGGGTGCTGCAAGAAGAACCTACATTCCAGGTTGGTTGGTTTATTATTTGAACTAAGTTGAAGGTTAAACCTGTGTCAATGAATGCACGTAACGTAGCACATCGTGATGACAAAGGAAGCCAGTCAATATGCGGATAATTGAGATCGCCAACAAGTGTCATACTAGCTCTCGGAAACGTTTTGGAAAGAAAAAAAGTGCGTCATGAAGTTCCGTAACAAAATCATCCGAATAATCTGGCGGTCTACAGCAAACTCCCAGTAAGGCCTCATAAGATAGTGATGATGCAATCACCCAAACCATTTCCAGCGATGATGGCACTGCTATCCTATTACAAGATACTGTGATTTTGGCAGCGATAAGAATGCCACCACCCCTTCTTTTGTCTCTATCACACCCAAGCAATGCGAAATTCATGTTTTTTTGGGAACACGTCTATATCTTTTATTTCTGGACGTAACCAAGTCTCCGTTAGAAACACTGTGCCAGCATTTGCCGATTTAATCAATGGATGCAGTTCTTCTTGTTTTGAAAGTACACTTCTAATATTTGTAGAAATAACCGAGTGCGATCTGTTTGGGAAAAGTGGGGCAATAGAGTAATTTATATGGGACCCCGCACTAATATCCACCTGTTGTACACGTCGTGGCCGGGAAACAAGGTTACGTTTAGATGCCCACGTTTACAGCGCTGTCCTCGTCACTCCACCCCTGGTCACATTACCTTCCTATTAATCAATCAGCGCCAAGCACCACACTCCTCCTCTTCTTCCTGTGAACCAATCAGTGTCGAGTCTGACGGCTACGCTTTTATCGAGGCTTCACTTTTGGGGTTCACGGAATGACGAACAAAGAGCCAAAGAACTTTTCACGTTAAAACGCGAAAACTCGGTTGTCGACGAGAAAGAAGAAGGTCAATATATTTCGGGACTGCCATGTTGTGCTCCTGAGAAATCATGACCGCAAGGCCCAAAAAGTCACAAGAAAATGTTATCGGAACCTCCTGGCGAGGTTGCGGAATGTCATAAAGCGCGACGAGAAGCTGACCAAGGGGGTGAGTTTGCTTCATTACACCACGACGACTCGCCTTTGAGGTGTAGACGGTGACTCATGCGGCCCCCTTTTCACCCGAACATGCGCACAGAGAGACTTCCTATTTTTTCCAAAAATAAACAACCAATTTCGGGACAAGCCTGCAGGACAATGGCTTGGCGATTATCGAGGGAACATAAAATGAAAAGAGCAAGGGTATTCCCCCAGCTCATTCATCGGTGGGAAAATTGTCACTTCGAGTAAGGCGAATGTGGGGACTAACCCCGCCAGTGATGCTCGTGTTCGTAGCAATGCTCATTCGCGATAGTAATTTAGGAACGTTATGGCCACCCCTCATACCGTGAGTTAGAGCTCGGCAGATTCCTACGGGTGCCGCCAGTGTCACTAAATAAGCTACGTTTCAGAGTAACGACACTTACCCATCTTGTGGTTCAAAAGCATGGTTGCTAGTTATCTGCATCATTATCTGAAATCACAGGAAACGCTTTCCCGTCTTCCACAGTTATTTAAACATTTCGCGAAAAAGGAAAGCTATATTGTATGAGCTTTCTAACACCGACTCTAACGCTGAGGAAGTCGCAGCTTTGAATCACAATGATCGGCAGTTTCATCTGCTCTCCACACGTACTAAGATGGTGGCGACCACAACGATATTGAGGAACAGAGTGCTGATATTCCAAGCGCCCAGCTCATTTAATATCTCCATACACCGTCTCATACTATGACGGTCTCAAGCACAATGCTACAGGCTGTCGGGTCCAAACACCAGCCTGTTAGAAACTATATGGTATATCTGCTCCGTTGTACGCATCGGTGCGCCAAGACGCGTCATGAGGGGATGAGTTTTTCGTCTGCTTAGCGAGAGCTCGCGGCGGCACCGTCCGCTTGCTACTACTGAACACTACTAAGACGAGTCTTTTGAAATACTGTCTGGAAGCAATGTGGCAAAGAGAGCTTGGGATCAGAACCAGTGACCATTAAGAAGTGAAGATGAGTCAGATCGAGTGTTCGATATGGGAGTGTACGTACGAACCACGTGCGGAAAGGAGATACTGGTCCGGGTACGAACACAAAGATTGGATAGGATTGTTATGGCTAAGGTGAAGCGACTTCATGTCAGTGTTACTTGCGAGCCCTTCAACTTCTCCGAAGAGTTAATATGTTTGCAATATATGGCTGAATATTTATGAAACTAAATATCATGTACTTTTACTTCACCATTATAAAATAGCCCGCTATCACAACAGAGAACCATATGCGTGGGATTTGTGCTCTTCGTACCCTGCGTATCAGAATTCCTTTCTCGCGCTCTTTTGAAATAAGGACGCAATTTTTCCTGAGGTAGCGCTCCGCCCGCCAGCCTTCGGGCCTTACTCCATCGCAGAGTGAGACGTAGTATGGGTGCCGCTATCTTGTGGCAATTTGCCACGGGCCTAGAGTATCAGCCTTATCGAAGCAGGGAACCGTCTAATGCAAACAGGCCCTTATCGTAAAGTGGTGCCAAAGATCGATCCTTCCAAAGCGTGGAACCGACCGTTCGCGAATATAAAGGAGGTGACGCACTCTGGTTATTTCACTGACACTCTTAATCAAAAAGAATGCGGTCGCTATGTTTGTTTGTGTGGAGCGCGCATTTTGCGTGTTGCGTCATCGTCACGTGTTCGCCACAAACAGGGATTATGCAGGCAAGGGAAAACCAGAATCACCGATTTCAAGGTGATGACTTCAAGGGTGAGCGTATTTACCTGCATGCTGATGAATAGCCGCGGTAGAACAAGTGTACACCCATCTTTGTTTGGATTCAACTTTTCTATTCTGACCCTAATTTTGGCAATATTTTGCGCATACAGCACCTACCATAATATCTATATATATATTGTAGGGTTCGGTGCTACTGCTCCCCCGGAAGAAGGACCAACGAGGCAGATCTCAGAATACACACCTTTACTTGTTCCTGGCAGCGAACTGACTGCCAAGCCCTGAGCCTCGAGCGCGGCTCACGCGGACGTTGCGCGCCGGGCGCGGAGCGCGCGTTCTTTCGCCCGATGATGGGCCGCCAAGCCCACAAACTTTCACCCCCCCCCCCCCCCCTCCCGCGAGTTCGTTGGAGTTGGTGGTGGAGAGAAAGGTTCGTCGTTATCGTCATTGTTGATGGCGATGTTGGCCGGCGAGGGGGGGGGGGGGGGGCGGAGGAGGGCGGGTCTGAGGCGCCGCACGACCGCCAGGGCCCGCTGGAGGTTGTGCTCGTCAATGGCCGCGAGGCGCAAGACGGCGGCCCTGGCGGCGGCGGCCGACTCCCGGGCACGGTGGAGAGCGCCGGCCTGGTGGGTGCCCCTGTGTATCTCGGGCACCCCACAAATGGGGCACAGGAGCCGGCGCTCCTCCTCGTTGTAGAGCTGCACGGGGTCGTTCGGGTGCCGGTCGGTCAGGGTGCATCCCCGAAACGGCTCCGGGACCTCGGCCGGGGGGTCCGTGGTGAGGGGCCGGGGCTGGACCTCCCAGGGCAGGTTTAATGTCCATGAGATTGGTAGGCCCTGGGGGCCCAGCACGGTCCAGGTTGCGGAGTTGCCCCGGCGTCGGTAAAAGTGCCGACGGCGACGTTGTCCCGGAGCTGGGGGGCGACGGCCATGGTGCTCCCAGGGTGGCGGTGGTGGGGGGGGGGGGGGGGGGGGGAGAAAGTGAACGCCCCCGTCTGTAGTACCGAGGCATCTTGGAGAGCAGAGACAAAGAAAAAAAGAGGGGGACCCATGAGTGGTCTTCTACAAGTGTTTCTTCTACGAGAACGTCGAGCGCGGCAATAGACAACTTAAATTTGCGAGCACGTTATCGGTGAATATCGCACAGAACTACGCGCACAATCTGTATGGTGCGGAAACTAGTTCTCGCCAAAGCCTATTGCAACGCGCATCTTCTAAGTCTTCGTCTTCGTCTTCGTCACCAACATCAGGAAAAGTCCTCGCAGAATTAAGTATAACCAGGATCGGCATCACTCTCCACCTGCGAGAGAAGTTTGTCATCCAATTCATAATACCGTTTGACGTTGGTGACATGAACGGGTCCAGCGAGTCGTCCAGACTCACAATAAACGAGCGTGTACGTGAGGCGTGGGACCTTGTCTCGCACTCGATACGGACCATCCCATCTGTTCACCAAGGAAGCTGTGAAACCTCTGGAGGCGTCACTAAGTGGGTGTGTCCGCCGGAGTACAAGGTCTCCAACTTCGAATTGCACGTCCCGGTGGCCACGATTGTACTGCTCAGCCTGCTGAAGCCGTGTGGCGTCCAAGCTTTCACGGGCATCACGAACGATGTCCCTGAGTCTGCGTCGTAGGCTTCTTGCAAACTGACCGTATGAGCGAGCAGCGCCACGGTTGTCGGTCGTGCAAGTGTTTTCCAGCGGCAAAGTCAGCTCTTTTCCGAAATTAAGGCAAGCTGGCGTAAAACCCGTAGACCGGTTAACGGTTGTGCGTGTTCCGAACGCGAGCTCTGGGAGCTTTGCGTCCCAGTCAGGGTGACGTTCGGTGTGAGCTATTAACATCAATTTCAGGTTTCGGTTCACCCGCTCTGTGATGTTTGCCTGTGGGTGATAGGGAGACGTCCGCTTGTGTTGTATGCCCAATGCGGCACAAGAGTCTCGGAACACTTTGCTGGCAAAGCAGGTAGCGTTGTCGCTAATCAATTTCGCCGGAAATCCGAAGCGTGTGAACGTCTCCATCAGACACGTCCAAATTTTCTTGGACGTCAGCGATCGCAATGCAAATAGCTCCACCCACTTGCTAAAGTGATCGGTGACAATCAACAAGTACTGGTTTCCACGCGGACTGCGTGGGAAAGGGCCCATGACGTTGACAGCAACGCATTCCCATGGGGACCGACTCACGACTGGCTGCATGAGACCAGGGGGCTGACCACCGCGCGGTTTGCCTTTCTGACAAACCGGGCATGAACGAGCGTACCTCAGCACGTCCTGACGAATTCCTGGCCAAGTTGCAGTACGGCTTAACTTTTCGAAAGTCTCGCAGCCACTACTGTGACCAGCCAGAGCAGAGTCACGGTAGTATCTAATGAAGGACGTGCGAAGTCGGCGAGGTATCACGGCTCGAAATGGAGTGCCTGTGAAGCCACCCTCCTCGTCGTCGATCTGAGGTATGTACCGGAGGAGCAGACCGTCTTCGGCCAGCAAGTACGAGTCAAAACCCATGTCAGCGTCTCTGTTGCCACGTCGGTCACGTGAAGATAACCACTCAGAGACCCAGCGACAAAGTCCATCGTTCTGCTGTGCAGCACGAAGCTCGTCTCGGCTAATCAAAGTACCCCAGCGCGAGCCAGCATCTATCGCAGCCACAACATTGGCATCCTCGGGCACGTGCTCTTCGCCGAGCGGAGCGCGCGACAAAGCGTCTGCAACTTTGTTTTGGGAGCCTGGCTTGTGCACAATGGTATAGTCATATTTCTGAAGCGTAAGTGCCCAGCGTGCTAATCGTCCTGCCGGATTTTCCAGCCGCTGAAGCCAAGACAAGGCGGCATTATCCGACTGGATCACAAAGCGCGCGCCGTCAAGATACATATAGAATTCCTGCAGGGCGAATACGATGGCTAGGCACTCAAGCTCGCAAACGTTGTAATTCCGCGGAGCTGTTGTCAACGTATGGCTAGCAAACGCAACGGGTCGTAAGACACCATCAAAGTCTTGAAGCAGCACACCACCTAAACCGTAGCCGTCGCATCGGTTTGCAGCAAAAACGGACGGTTGAGGTTTGGGAGCTTCAAAGATGCTGTCTCAGCAATAGCTCTGGACAGTTGAAGGAAAGCATTTTGCTGTGCCTCCGTCCAACGCCACTTGACGCCTTTGCGCAGCAGTTCGTTCAGAGGCCGCGTTATCTCTGCACACTGGGGAATAAACTGACGGTAAAATCGTGCCAAGAAATCGCCGCAAACTCTTTGCATCATGTGGGCGAAGAAACTGAGTTATGGCCCTCAGCTTGTCCTCATTGGGGCGAAGCGATCCATCGTCGATTAGAAAACCGAGCAGGTTAATCTTAGATGCTGCCAGTTGCATTTTTCCCGGGTGAACTGTCAAACCAGCATTCCGCATGCGCTCGAGAATAGTCCGAAGGTGCTCAAGATGTTCTTCGAACGAGCGTGAGAAGACTACTACGTCATCCATATATGCCATGGCGTAGTTGTGCCGTGCGTCTCCAAGCACAATGTCCATAAGACGCTGGAATGTGGCAGGAGAGTTGCTCAAGCCGAAAGGCATGCGCACAAACTCGTAGAACCCTCTGTAGCATGTGAATGCTGTTTTCTTGATGTCAGCGGGTTCGACCTCTATCTGGAGGAAACCGCGACTGCAGTCAAGAGTCGTGAAAAAACTCGCGTTTTCCAAGTTGTACATGATCGACTCAATCGAGGGGTACGGGTAGGCGTCACGAACGGTTACCGTATTCAGGCGCCGGTACACTGTTAGAAAAACTCCTGTCAAAATATGGGACACAAACATGCTAACCTTGTTGCCACAACATGTACTGTATTACCGGACTACAGAACATGTTCCATACTTCTTTAGTACGGGACATGTTGTTGCTGTATGGGCAGGCACAACAAGTTCCATACACCATCATCACGGAACAAGTACTGTATGCTACAGGAAATGTACCATCGTGGCACACAGCAGCACATGTTCTGTTGCAAGCCATGCCAGAACATGTACCATTTTTACGAAGTACATTACATGTTCCAATGCGTCCAAAACGACACAGGTTACATTTCTTGTACGTACGGAAAAAGTTCAGTCTTGTTTGTGATAGTACTCGCCCCATTTTATGTTACTGCCGCTATTCATGAGTACATCCGGGCTTTGTATGTCACATGCCAAGCTCCTCCTTGAAAAAGTTGATATGTGACATGCAAAACAGAGATGTCCTGGCAGTTTGCAGGCGCAACTTGATGCACGTCTTTGCAACATAAAATTACCTGCAATGCGCAAATGTTCCCCAAACTTGTATGTATGGAAAATTTGAACTGTCGTATCTAATGCGAGCACTATCCTGAAAACAGAACAATGAATCTGCGACATATATACTCAATAGAACAGCCAGGAATGCCATGAGAAAGTGCTCACATGCTACGTCAAGTTTAGAGAGCATTGTACATGTAGTGACGGGGATAAAGGCAGATAAACATTTGTAAAAAAATCGTTATCAAACTAAGTTCACGCTTGGTCCTTTTGGTTCCAACCCATAGCAACGGACCCATTGCAAAGAAGACTGAACAGTTTGCTGCTTCAAAAATATTTACATTTATTTTTCTTTTAAATGATTAGAGCAGATACACAATAAAAAAAACACAGTTCATGCCGCAAATATTTTGGGGGGCAGCTCAGCCATAAAAAAAAATATCAAAGTGAGCAGTCTCCTAAAAAAATCGGACCAAAAATTATGCTGACATGCTACATCTCGAAAAGAACCATCTTGGCCTATACAACTAATTGTAATATTAACAATAGAAAAGAAAGATTAATCTAAACAAGCACCGAAGTTTGTTTCCACTTCTTTTGGAACTTCGAGAACTCTTGGAGAGCTCCCTGCGCCTTCAGATGCACCAGAGCAACCTTTCTTGACGACTGCCGGGACCCCTCCTGCGGATTCATTGCCACAAGTCGCCTGAAAAAAAAAAAGATAACATAAATAATGGGTGGGATTTCTTAGAGGAGGATGTATAACAGAAGCTAAG